TATTTATAGCCTTTACAAGACTCTGAAATCTAACTCTAGTTCGGCTAAAGCTAATAAAACCTAACTAGGGCTGCAAACGAGTCGAGTCGAGTCGAGTTTTGATCTAATCGAACCGAGCCTCGACATAATTTCATTGAACTCGAGTTCGAGCTCGAGCTCGACGAGCTGACAATTTCGAGCTCGAAAAAAATAAAAAATAATTATTTTATTTTTTTAAAAATAAATAAAATAATATTTTTTCTTAATAAATAATAAAATATTAAGGATATATATGTAATTTTACTATTAAAATTTAAAATATATATATACTTAAAATAAAAAATATATATATATATATATACTTAAAATAAAAAAAAATATATATATATATATATATATATATATATATATATATATACTCGAGCTCGCGAGCTTAATATTTTGAACTCGAGTTCGAGCTCAATTTCGATTCGAGCCGACTCGAACTCGACTCGAGCTCAATTCGAGCGGCTCGCGAGCGGCTCGATTCGTTTGCAGCCCTAAACTTAACTCTAAATTGGCTCAACTATGGTCAACATGACCTTAGCCGTGTATTTCCATCAAACTAACGACTCAAGTTAACTCTTAACTAACACGTGTGTTTGGACAGGAGATTATTTGTCCAAATATATTTGCTTACATCACCATTATAATTTTCAATACACTTTTTTATCTTCCCAATTATTTTTTTATCTCACATACATCACATCACAAAAAGTGCTACAGTAAAAATATTTCAAATAATTTACAATCCAAACACTAGTATCCAACGAATATTGCTAGAATTAACTCAAACAAACGACACTAAGAAAATGCTCAAACATGATGAGTTACTAGCAGTTATAACTAACATGAACACACTAAAACTAAGGAAGGGATGCGGGTTTGTTGAGCTTCAATGGATCAACCAAACGTATGATTTGAACATCGTTGATCCCATGTTCTCATCATTTCCTAACTTATCTTATCTATCTTCTCTCATATATTTACTTTTTCTAATTAATTTTATATTTTTAAATAAAAAAATATGATACATGAAGTATACGTTGAAGTAAAAAAAAAAAAAAAAAAAAAAGTATACGTTGAAGTATATGTTAACGAATGCCCATTTGGATAGAACCGTCATTAGACAAACCCTTAAAAATAACCTAATTTTGGCCAATGTTATGCCAAAACTTGCCCACCACAAGGCTATTAAATGATAAGTTATTCATGCTCGAAAATAAGAACCTGTCTCCAATCCAGGACGCCTACACTGCGGGGCTCAGTGTCGTGGTGTGGATTTTACTTGCCACCAGACTGCTAAAAAACTACAGTTGCAAGATCTGATTGTCTGAAATTCGCCCAGACAAAAGAACTTTTACTACTATGAGATGAACCCAAGGCCCAAAATCAGATCACCTCCTCCCAATTCCAAATCCCCCTTCTTCAATGTTTTCCCCAATTCTTCTTCCTCCTCCTCCCACAAGATGCCACGCAAATCCTTTATCAAACCCACCCTAACCTTGGCTTCCCTCCTCTCCTTCTCCCTCTTTGCCCTCTACTTCGCTTTCTCCTCCCCCAATTTCTACCTCCAGCAGAAAATTCATGATGGTTACGGCGATGATAAGGCGAACAAGGTGAAGGTTTACGTGTACGATTTGCCCAGGAAGTTTACTTACGGGGTGATTGAGAGATACGAGAAGTCCCGGGGAGGTGAGGCTAAAACCGACGATGCGTTGCTCAAGTATCCCGGCCACCAGCATTCTGCCGAGTGGTACTTGTTTAGGGACTTGAATCGGCCGAGTCGTGACCGAGTTGACTCGGCTGTTGCTCGGGTTTATGATCCTGACCAGGCTGATCTTTTTTACGTCCCGTTCTTCTCGTCACTCAGTCTCGTGGTTAACTTGAATCGGCCGGGGACTCTGGGTGCGGCGGCTCCGTCGTTGTATAGTGATGAGGAAATGCAGGTGGTTTTTTTTTTTAGTGCTGTTTTACTATTGAGTTGAATTTAATTGAGTTTCTTGACTTGCAGAGGAGATTAAGTTGAAATGTCTATGTAATGTTTTTTGCTTTTGGCTTGATTTTGTGAAAGTTTTTTTTTTTCGATATTTATTCTTCCATTGACCGTTTTTAAGAGGGTAGATTTGTTATCTTAGTAATCTTAATTGAACTACTGGCTGTTTTTGTTGGAAGAAATATGCATTCTTAGTCGTCTTATGTAAACTCTTCAGCTTATTCCAGTTTAATCATGATTCTTTTAGTTTATCTAATCGAGCTATTTATAGCCTGAGTTTGCACCATTTTATCTGAATGATTGGCTGTTTGTCAGGGATTGTCGGGTACACAGTATAATCGCTGTTAAATTTGCTGTTAAATTTTGCACGCATTTAGTTCATTTTAAAAGGTGACGGCATTGAATTGAGGCAACCATGACATTGAATGGACCAACAACATGGAGTTTTCACTATCTATCTTCAAACTTGTACTTGAATGCTTATGCTGGACCTAACATGTGCAACATTTTTTTTTATTTCTGAATTTCTAGGTTCTATTTTGTCGACTTTTAGTTGATAATTTTGGTTTTTTTCCTGCTTCTAGAGATATTGACTCAGCAGTAGTATGTCTTCCACTGAATTATTAGCTCAAATGGAGATAAGCATTGAATTGGTTCTATTGGGTTGCATTTTATCTTCTGGATTTTTTTTTGTGCCAATAAATGCTTATTTGTTCTTCTTCATTGATTTTTCTTTTTAAGTCCTTCTGTAATCTGATGTTTATTTTATTGTTGTTACAGGAATCTTTAATAGAGTGGTTGGAAAATCAGGAGTATTGGAAGAGGAATAATGGGTGGGACCATGTGTTTATATGTCAGGATCCTAATGCTTTGTACAAGGTGGTGGATAGGGTGAAGAATGGGGTGTTGTTAGTTTCAGACTTTGGGAGATTGACACACAATCAGGGATCACTTGTGAAAGATGTGATTTTGCCGTACTCACATCGAATTAATTCATATTTAGGCAATATTGGGGTTGAGAATCGTGATAAACTGCTTTTCTTTATGGGGAACAGATATCGAAAGGAGGTAACTTCTTTACAGTTGTTTTTCAAAAGGTTTCATATTGTATTTCCTGTACTACCACCTATTCTGAAGACAGAAAATAGATTTTTTGATTTAGACGGATCTTTTGTTTATAGACTGCTATTACATGTAGCAAGCTTGAGTGAAGTAGACTAGCTATTGTTGCACTTGCTTGGAATGAGTTAGCAGATTGATAAGTATCTTTTGTGTTGATTAATCTGAGTGGTCACCGTGAAACTGAATTTATCGCTGAAAATCAACACATGATTTGTGGTGCATTTTCAGAATATCTCCAACAAGGTTCAGCTTACCTGATGTGTGGTAGTTATGGTTGTTGAGCTTCTATTTAGTAGAAGTCCCAAGGTAAAGCCTTTTTTCAGTAGATTTTTTATGACATTCTACAATTTGTTTGTGCTTATTATCCGCACCATGATGCAAAAAGTTTCTGGAAACCAGAAGGTGTAACATTTGTTTTGCTGATTTTGTACTTTAGAATCCATGCTTCAGGGAGTGGAGAAGTACTCTTGTAGGTCAAAGATTCTTCCTATTTCAACACTAATGAAACACATACTTTTTGGTCTTCATATCTATTTTCCGTTAACCACTCTGAATTCCTCTGTATTGTTTCAAGTTCAATTGTTCCAATTGATGCATCGCTTATTTGGTTCACTGAAAGATAATCCATGTCGCTTCAAGTGAATATTTCACCTTATAAATGTCAGAAGAACAAGATTCTTTCAGTATTTAATACGAAAGAAGATTTTGGGCTAATTACCATATTTTCTTTGCTTTACATTTGACTACATAATAATGCATACCCGACTAAATTTCTAGTTTTGCTTTAATCTAAATTGTTAAGTTGTGAAGTTTTCAGGCTTCTATGGTCCATTGCTTTCATATAAGAGAATTTTGAATCCTATCATCTCAGCTTTGGTTAATTTTGGATGTAAAATTTACGCTACTTAAAGATGTTATCCAATGCATATGGGAAAATATATCCCGTGGAGGGAGGTGGTTTATTATTTTCTCGTATGGTAAAAATTTAGTTGGAGAAGAATGCAAAGTGTTGCCTAACATTTTATATGTAGTTATAACATATATGCATAAACTCTCTCATAAAGCTTTAATTAGTCAGTCGAAACATAAATAGGACAAATTTATCTGAAAAGAATTAGCAATCCAAAACTATTGGTTGCATGACACATTATTCTGTGGGTGTTAATTGCATCTTATTTGGTCTGTGTTCATGAGTAGCCCTTAGATTTGGATCTATATCTTCGTAATTAAGTTGGTAATCTTTTTAAACTTTAAAATCTTCCGATAGTGGCATTCTTTTACTCTTCTAGGGACCCTTTTGAATTTTATACATCTACATAATATCATATGAGGAAAGCTCATTTGCTCCAACTAAATAAATTAACCATGGTTGACCCATGACTTTAACAATAGGATGGTAAATTTTTACTTCATAAGTACTTTGTCCATCAATTAAATAGCCAGATCCACCAGTTTAACACATATAACTTAAAGCTTGGATGAAGTCAGATATAGACTGATGCTCATTACCTGAGAATGACCATTCACATCTTTGCAACTCTATATCTCCCTTGCCCTCTTCTTGAACCAGAATGGGAACTTGAGTCTTCCAAATTAGTCGTTGCAACTTTCATGGTAGCTGCTACTTTGCATACAAGATTCTAGTGTGGGATTTGGAGTTGGTGATGCCAAATTCTGCTCCTTGTGGACCCTAGTGTTTGTAAGAGGTCTATGGCTCATTAATAACCAACTCCAATTGAAAAGAAGTTCATGTCCAATGAAGGATGCAAAGTTCCTTTGTTTAGTACTGTAGACTTTTGCTAATTTTCATTGCTCATGCAATAGTTATCTGCATGTTGTGTGGTTTTTTTTTCGTTTCCATTTCTTTTGATAAAGTCATGTCGGTTGATTAGCGTTTGCTAAGCTTCCAATATTGCAATTCCAGGGGGGAAAGGTCCGTGACTTGCTGTTCCAACTGCTTGAGAATGAAGAAGATGTTATCATAAAACACGGTGCACAGTCCAGAGAATCTCGCAGAGAGGCAACAAGAGGGATGCACACTTCAAAGTTCTGTTTGCATCCAGCGGGTGATACTCCATCAGCTTGTCGGCTTTTTGATGCTATTGTGAGCTTGTGTATACCTGTTGTTGTAAGCGACTATATCGAGTTGCCTTTTGAAGATGTCATAGACTACAGGAAAGTTGCAATTTTTGTCGATACAAATACCGCTGTGCAGCCAGGATACTTGGTGAAATTGCTCAGGACAGTAAGCACAGAGAGGATTTTGGAATTTCAACGGAATTTGAAGAAGGTACTCCCGCTCTGTCCCTCTCTCTCGCTCTCTCTCTATCATAAGTAAAGAAAAACCTGTGGCAGAAGGAGAAAGGGAAATTAAAATTGATACACCTGTTTAATGTCATAATGCGTTCCGTCATTAATTACCGCCAAAAGATGAAAGCAAGAAGAAAATATAGAGAACAGATATGCAAAGTACAAAATCTGCCCTCAGTATTTTGTTTAGAGATTTGCTGAATAAATAGGCTAGAGTGACATACTTTTGTGTAAATTGTGCAAAACTTGTTCTCAAAGTTATTTCTCTTTCAGGTTAAGCATTACTTTGAATACGAAGATCCAAATGGGACAGTGAAAGAAATCTGGCGCCAAGTATCACAGAAGCTACCCCTGGTTAATCTGATGAAGAACCGTGACAAACGGCTTGTGAAGAGGGATTTGACAGAACCAGATTGTTCTTGTCTTTGTTCAAACCAGTCAGGAATCCAGACGACACTATGATTATTGCCTATTGGCGAATTGCGTCACTGGAATTGTGGCAACTGTACATCAGCACGGAAGCACCGCCTCTCATATGGTCAGGGGAGTGACTATTCTTTTCCGGAGACTGATCTAGTTATCCTGTCTGATTCGTTCATTCTTTCTCCGCTGTCACTCCGGTCACAAAACTAGAAGGGTCTCATCAAATGTATTATGCCTGATATTTTTGTCCTTTTCGCAAAATGTTGAGTTAATAGAAGCAGGAATTAGTTGTTTATGTAAAGAAATGAGTTGTACATTATGACATTAAAAACCACAGCAATTAAATCAATTTGGCCTTGATAATTATTTCTAAGTCATTGTGTAATTCATAAGTTTTCTGGGGCAAGGATCCGGGTAACAGTTGGCCCAGTGCAGTAGTCGACTTTCTGATGCAAACATTTGAGTGCTCTTCCATTGCCGTTGCCCTCCTTTCTGTTACCCATCTCTTAGATAGCTGATCTATCTTTGTTTTGAAGGATGTGGGCATTGGGATGGGATGGGATGAGATCATGAGAGGGGTGGGCATTGGGCTAAGTTATGGCCCCTCAAGGTGCTGTATGTTTGTATTCACTGCTAGACCTAAATTTTGTAAAAACATCAGGTATTGATTGATAGAAGTCACAACCAAATGCAAAGAAACATGAAAAAGATAAGTTCAAAAATCGGGAGGTGCTTGATGTCAACACGACTGCATGAGATGTAATTATGAGTTGTGAGTTCATAGCTCAAAAGTCAGAATGGATTAGAATATGTGGTTTGCAGCAAAGAGGAAAACTAAGAGTGACAAGCAGTTGAACCTACGTTACGAAAAACACAAAGTAAAAGCTGGAGATAGATGAGTGCTTCTGCAGAGAACTTGAAAAGCACTCAACCATCTTTATCTGTGAGAAAGCTGGCCGGACTAATGCGTTATGGCTTAATAACAAAGAAAAGTTAATTTAAGGAAGATCATTGTTGGATGGGATGAGCAGAGTATCCCATTAAGCATCTAAAGTTTCACATAGACAAGCAAATTCAGATGGATACTCTTGCAAACAAGAAAATACAAGATAAAACTGTCACAATCGGGATACTCTTTTCTTGTGCTCTTTTGGGATCAAAAGAAAGGACCATTGTGTTACAAGGAGGGAGGAAAAGATCACAAAAGGAAAAAAAGATGTCAAAGCATATGAACCTGATCTCAGCCTGGTGGCCATGCCATCTGCCTTCCACCAAGTACGTGCAAGTGCAGATGGTAGACGGATTGACCTGTATATAAGAAGAAGCAAGTCAAAAAATTTTGCATGAGGGAGCAAATGTTGTGATTGGTAAGAAAAAAGCAGTTTGGACTTAAAACCATGCCTTTTAGACTTCCATTTGCTCAGGTTAGAAGATGTAGAGAGCCAATTTTCTCTTCACTGAATTGGCACTAGTGTACTTGTTCCAATTAAAACACACACAGAAAAAGCAAAATTATAAATGACACTTACATGCTGTTGGCCCACTATTAATAACAACACGAAAACCATCGACAATGCCTTCTTTTTCGGCCACAATTTTGGCTGCATAGAGAAGCTCACCCAGTATTTCTCCATGTCTTTTTTCAGCCTGCCAAAGTGTTGGAACTCAGCCAATGAATCTTTTGTTCACTACATAAACATTCCACCACATACAATGAATTCATGAATTTCTTTGAGTGAAAATACGAGTTATGTCAACAAAAGGGGCAACTTAATGTTAAGCATGACACTGAATGTAGTCACTATCAAGCCTAGAATGACTTGAATCTATAGAAATGTATAATTTAGGAAATCTAGCTTGTCAAGCGACGATAAATATCTGATTAAGGTAAACATGCCTGCCGATATGTTGCCTCCTGGCACTAATAGGAAGTCATTCTTTGCGCCTTTTACATGCATACATGCAAACACATACAGAACTAATAGATAACCAAACAACATACAAATTCTACACCATGGGAAGACCAGAATGACATTCCTAATAAGTAATTGCAGAAGATATTTTCCAAAGATTGGGATACCAGCAAATACGCCGCATATCTTATGATCTCTGGGATCATACATTGAGCTGTCTCCTGGATAAAAATATAAATCTGAAAAATGTCCACGAATGCTTGGCATGTAGTAAATGGGTTTTGGTGAACCAATTCCATGTTATCCTGTTGTTATATTGTACAAAGAGAATTTTTTTTCTATTCTTGCCCTGCAACTAATTTCTGTATTTCGTTTGTATTTCTCTTCCAATGAAGCAATCAGCATGGCAGCAACCCTTAACAATTTCCAGAATCTAGGCCTGTATTATCACTTCATTATTTCTTCAAGAAAGTAAAACAGTAGTATTCTTGTATACTTCATCAAATACCAAGCAAAATGTATATCTTAAAATAAGCAGCAAAAGTCCTTTTGTTGAAACGACAGATGAAAGAGAAGGAAAGAAAAATTACCTTGCCAAGCTGTGTTAACCCATCCCTTGATTTTGGTATGACTAAAACATGCACTGGAGCCTGTGGGTTGATATCTCGAAATGCCAGAACCTTGTCATCCTCATATACTATGGTGGAAGGAATTTCCTTTGCAATAATCTTGTCATATCTGATGAAGAACCATAACCAAAGAATGACAGATGGCAACAGATTTTAGCATCAATTTAGAATGTGTGGACACTAAAAGCCAAGGAAATTTCCTTAACAAACATTTGTTTCTTCTTTCTACATCTTTAGACATGAGAATGAAAGAATAGATATGTTAACTTCATCCTTGTTAAGATATCTGTGGTGTAGCTGATATGAATCATATTAATTGAGTTCATCAAGAAATAGATTTTTTCAGCATTATAGAACAGGAATTGTCCATTCATGTTCTTGAAAACTACTTTCCTTTTTCAGACATGGTAAACCAGATGTTATACAACCACGAAACATCTGTTTAATGCTTTGTTTTCTGGTTTCTAAAAATAAAAAACTGACACTATCTGAAACATTATAACTGGTTTTGTTAGCTCTAAGAACACTGACAAGAGAGCAATAATTTTCGCAAAAGTCTCCAACAGATTTCACTTTGCCAACCATTCTGTTATACAGGGCCAAAATCTAAAACAGATGCATTAGTTTCTTATAACCTTCTCCAAAACTCTACCTAAAGTAACCTACAATTAATTGCTTCATTCTTTAGTCCACTTTTTTATTTTTCTTCTGCCCTGGACAAGTCTAGCATTGGTAGACATAATAAGGTCAAGCACATAAAAGAAGCATGTAGCATTCAGCTTCATGCTCTATTCTCCAATTCTAGAATGTATCCGAGGCATTTAACTGAAATAGATATGGTTATGAAGACGACAAAAAAGAAATACTTTAAATTGATATAGAAGAAGAATACATGGTTGGTCCTCCAGTATCAGCATCTGCTGCAGCTACTCGAGCAGAAGTTTCTTCATCATTTGTGGCACCGGTAGAGGACATGGTTCTTCCAAATGCCAAACCAAAAGAAAAAACAAAAAAGTCAAACGAAAGAATGCTTCTACAGTGAAGATGCATCAAAAGTTAGTCACATTCAACTCGGAATTGAAGAGTACTAACACTCCCATTAAAGACACACGAGCAAAATTCAGAAAACTGAAGTCAGAATTCAATTGATACTCAATTCACATTCAACTCAGCTAAATGTGAACTCCCTTCTATCCATAACTACTCCAAGTTATCCAAATTATCCATTATTAGACCAACAATCTCATAACAGCATCAAACTTCAGATGATAAAATGCAAAAGCTTCACGCTCCGGCTGCAACCATATAAATAGACGACAACGGCTGTTAATATAAAGCAATATTTTAATTCTGCATTCTTGACCTTGGTAAGTCCCATGGGGCTAAATTCCACATGTTTTTGCTTGCCTTTTCTTTTCTTCCCCAGATAACAGAACCCATTCTATCTTTTTCCATCCCCTCCCTCCCTTCTTTCCTTCACCCCCCCCCCCCCCCGCGCCCAAGACTGCATTGCTCCAGACAACAAAAATATGCTATTATCTATTAAGTACATGAAAAATGGTCTAAAAACAAGGCATTTCCCACCACAACTTCTTTTACAGCATAAAAAAAATAATAAAAGGGGAATTTAATGGAAAGAATTAATCTTGCCAGTGGGTTCTCGTACCTGCGAAAGCTAAAAGGGGGGCGATGAAATAGAGGAAGGCTTCTTATTGGGATGGAATTGGAAGCTTTGACAAAAGCCAGAGCTCTTATAGTCAGAGGGCCACTGTAGAATCCATTTAAAATCAAGAAAGCAAAAAAAACCAAATATTAATAAAGAGCAGGGAATGGATAGAGATACTTTGGGGTTCTTCAAGCATTAAGAGCCTTACCGGAACAGGAAGAGGGAGTTCATGGCAGCCACCATGGTTGGGACTCAGTGGACTTGGAAGTTGGATGCACCAAAACACTGAAACTGTTTAGTAGGACTAGTTTTTAGATTTTGAAGAGAAGGGGGGCTCTTTAGGTAAAAATTGCGCATATGGATATGGATTTTCCTGAATTTTCATTTTACTCCTTAATGAGTTCTCTGTTCGTGAATTATACCCATACAGAATGTTGAACGCTCAATAGGCCACACTAGGTTGACAGTGGGAGCCAATTTATCTCGATAAAAGCTCCAGGTAGGTTTGTTAATTAATAGAACTAAATGAAAATATTTTTTGATTTTTTATTATCACTTTGATGGGGTCAAAATGATATTTACCTATAAATAAGAAATCAAGATAGATTTGTCAATTTATAGAACTAAATCACAATATTGCTCAATTTTTTTATTATCTTTTTTTCTCAATTTTTTTGTTATCAGTTTGACGAGGCTAAAATAATATTTACTTATAACTGAGTCAAACTATTCCAAACTTTGATTGACAAAAAACTTATTGACCTTGATTTGAATAGTATTTCAATCACATTCAAATGTAATTTTAAGCACCCTCACAAAATGAACCAAACTTGAGCTACTTTCGAATTGGAGTCGATTGGCTTATTTATCGCTTTAGGCCTCTATTGACAAGGAGTAGGGGCATAATAACAAAATAAGTTATTTAGTTTTAAAAATGTTGTCGAAGTATTAATTATACACAAACCATTCCCTTTAATACTTATAAGAGAAGGGGATTTAAACTCTTGACCTCTATAGAGCAAACACTCAATCATTGAGCATATGTAATTTCAATTTTTGTGTAAATAAGAAGACTATTTTCTTTTTAACTTTTCGTGCTTAACTGTAACAAAATCCATCATACTATAGAAAATAATATTGAAAGGAAAAAACATTTAAGAAATTGAGTATCTAATCTTCTACATTATTAAGCACATAAGTTTATCATTCCCTATAACTACCATCATAAAAAGAAATCACTATTATGATTGCTTTACATGAAATGATTAAATCATGAAATTTAAACTTCTTGATATTAGGATTCATATGCTACATCATATGCATGATATGTATATGCCAGAGACATTGAAATGTTAAAGAAAGAAATAAGAAAGATGTCATTGATATTGACTACACAATTATAGATAGAATAAATTCAATAGACAAATTCAAATGACTGAGTATCTCGCATCATTTTGAAGGAGAGATTGAATTTCCATTTATTCTATGTACATATACAAAATGTATCTTTTACAGCTTCTTTGAGAGAGAAGAAACAGGCAAAAAAAGAAAAGAAAAAAAAAAGAAAGTTTTGGACAGAAAGCATAATCTTTTCGTTTGTTTGAGAGCAATAGAATGAAAATACCAAAAATGGAAGGATCATACCTTTCCTCTCAAACCAAAATGTATGCTACTCAAAAATGGGTTGATATGGAAAGAAGGAAACGATGTTTTAATCAATGTTTTAATATGACAATCTTTACCCTTAACAACTACTGTATATGACTCATATAAAAGGCACACTTATAAAATTAATTACTACAAGTTTATTTCTTTTCCTTTTCTCCGACTCCCAAATAAAAAGAAATCACCTTTTTCCTTCATTAAGCTCTCAAATAACTGCGAATGAAACTTGGGTCTTTCTTTCTTCTCTTTAATGACCAATATTTTCTATCCTATTTCTATCCTAAGCTCCCAAACTAGCCATTAACATATGATATAACTCACATGTCCTCGTTGTGCACTCTTATAAAATACACGGAACCCCTTTATGGTTTCACGAAAAGACACCTTACCCCCCTATCGTTTAGAAACTTCCACATAAACACCCTAAACTTCATAACTAAAGTGAAAATTGACTTCTGAACCGGCTGAGTTACCGGCTGCAGGTCGAATACCCAAAATACCCTCATTTATAATAGAGAGGGAGAGAGAATCAAGAACTAACTCTCTCTCGTTCATCCTGTGTAAGAAAAAAATTCTAAAACAAGGTCGCATCCGGTAGCGAAGAAGGGAAGGTCAGATATGTGGTTGTATCTAATCGTGAAGCTTGTTCGACATTTCTAGGTAAGAATCAGAACTTATTGTTCAATATTCAGTCCATTTGGTGTTTAGGATTTGTATTATTTTTTCAATTTGTTTATTCCTTTTCCACTATATATTGGAGTTTAAATGTACGGTTTCTATCATTTTTATAGTTGGTGGTCCATATGTACATGATTTATCGAGAAAATGGAATATCAAAATGTAAAGTTCTTAACTTTTTTAGTTTTTTTGGAGTATGTGAGTCTTTTTCGGAGTATGTGGTTGATGTCGGGAGGAAATAATAATCTGAAAGTGTTGATTAAATAATATGTGTCGGGTCTAACTAATTGTTGTTGTAATCTGAAAGTGTGATGTACCTTAATATAGTTTATTAATCTATATTTGAATTCTGAAAGTGTTGATTAAATAATTTAGCTTAGGGACCATGTCAGATCCTTTTAGGACAGTGGATATCCACATACACTATGGTGGGTGGTTTATACATCATCCCAAGATTAGGTATATAAGTGATTTAGTGAGAGTGTTTTACAAATGTGACCCTGATGAATTATCAGCATTTTCATTGTTGAACCTGTACTCCAAAATTGAAAAACAAGCGGCATGTGCAAAATTTTGGTATTCCATTCCAGACCATGATGTGGATGTAGGTGTTATCCCAATAAATGATGACGTGGACATAGAATTGTTGACTACCTGTTATGAAGGACTTCCTTATATGCATATATATGTAGAGGTAGGTCAGACCCCTATCAAAATTGTCTCACCAGATGGCAAGCTCTTATTCGAAAGAGTGACGAATGATGGTCCACTTGCTTTGCCGTATAATGAGAATTCTTCAGAAATCAATTCAGATCTGACTAGAAATCGTGCTGGAGTTTTACAAAATCCTGTTGATTTGACTGATTTTGAACCATATGTTAGAGATACAATAGGGCAAGAAAATGACTTAGATGGCACAGCTGATGTAGAAGCTAATAATGGCACACAAAATTCCTTCGAAACAACTAAGAAAAACAAAAGAAAGGGTGGTAAAACTCTAGTGAGGAAGAGACAAACTGTGGTGCAACATGTGAAGAGAGCAGCAGAAAAATCTGTAAGAAAATTATTTCAGCAGAATACCAGAATAGATGCTGTCGACAGCCAGCAAGAGGTTTCTTCAGTGAACCAAAGTGCAGAAGAATGTGAAAATCAAGGTAACTTTGACAGAGAAGCAGACACAGTCAATAAAGAGGAGCAGCAAGGTAATTCTGACAGAGAACCAAATCAAGTCAACAGAGAACAGCACCACAGTGAAGGAAACGAAGAACCTGATCCGGATTGGTTGAGAGAGGGTCTAAAATTTGCAGAAGATGAGAACATCTTTGCAACTGCTGGTTCAACTGTACCTCAAACAAATCAGCAAACTGATGACTTGAATGAGCAACAGCAAAAACATCAGAAACCAGAAGGTGAGGAGTCCACAGCACAGCATCAGTATGGAGGGGACCAACCTATTGGCCCTGACACTGAGGAATGGGAATGAAATGAACCTGTGACTGCAGAAGAAGACTTCCTACATTCCGATGATGAAAATGGGTCTGACTACTCATATTTCAATGCTGCAGTGAAGTTTAACAAGCCAAAATTTGAATTAAAGGTTGGGAAGAAATTCACTCATTTTACAAAATTTAGAGAAGCACTTGTGGAATGGAACATTAGAGAGGGATATAAAGTTTTATATGTTATCAATGATAGTTGAAGGATAACTGCCAAATGTGCAAAAGGATGTTCTTGGAGGATTCATGCAAGCAGAGTTAATAGGATTGACACTTTCAGATCAAAACACTAAAGGGAGAGCACCATTGCGGCAGATAGTACACTAACAAGCATGCAATTTCAACTTATCTGAGCAGAAAGTTTCAAGAGAAGGTTCGAGATGACCGTAATTGCAGCCTGGATGACATTATATTAAGGGCAAATTATCCAATTGGCCCTTTAACTCTTTGTCTAGGTAAAATTAAACTCCTCATCTATTTTTTGCTGACTTTAAGCCCTTGAACTTGTAAAAGTGGAAAATCGTGGCCCTTTTAACCAGTTTCTCCGATTTTGCAACCGGAGGATCAATTCACACGAATGCAAGTGTGCTTCTTCAAAGGGCATTTTTGTCCGCATATTCCAAGCAAAAAGGGCACAACTCCTCCCTCCCTCCATTTTCCTAACCCAACCCAATCCAACCCAACTGCTAGTCGAAACTTCACAGCAACAATGGAAGCAACAATGGAGTGGCAAGAGAAAATCTTTCCGACATTTTCCTTACCCATTTTCATCTTTCCTTAAGGATCTTTGCGGAGGGAGAAGAGCAAGAGAGAATCAGCACTGTCGGGTTTGGGTATCATCGACATTGAAGCAACAAGGAGTGGCAAATCAGGCCAAAAAATCATCGACATTGAAGCAAGAGAGAAGTCTGAAAGGAAAAAAAAAGGGGAGAAGGTAAAAGTTTTGTGAAGAGAAGAAAAAAATGCGCAAATATCGCGGCCCTCTACTTCCTACTTGTCGTTGCGATAAAGTCACGAAAATGATTACTTCTTGGACTGATAGAAATCCAGGAAGAAGGTACGCCGTTTGCTCAGAAGAAGTTGGTGGCTGCGGGTATTGGAATTGGATTGACGACGAGATGTGCCGTCGTTCTATTGAGCTGATACCAGGCCTTCTAAGGAGGATCAATGCAACAGAAAAGCAAAAAGACGAATTTGAAACTGCAGCTGCGAGATCCGAGGCAAAAGCTGCCAAGTTGAAGGCAAAATTGAGAGAAACAAAGGAGCAGCTGCGGTGGCAGAAATGGTTGAATAAGTTCCTTGTAAGGGTTCTTGTGGTAAGTTGGCTGGTTGCTGTAATAATAGTGCTTACAGAGAAAAAAATTGCAGGTGGAGTCTCTCTTGGGATACTCCAAATTGGGAATAAATGTAATGGGATTATGCAAATTGAAGGCGATACATGAAGGGCAGTGTGTAAGTGT